AAAGGGAATGATTTTAATTTGTACTATTTTATCATTACATTCAACATTTTTAACAAACCTTTGGAAGAAACATTGGATTTTCATTCGAAGGTGTGTGCAAAATTTTTAGTTAATCAGAGTAAGGATTAATTTTAATCAATTCTTCAAATGTATCATATTATCTAACAATCTGGATGAATCATTTTTAAAGGGAATGGTTTTGTTTTATGATTCTCGTTCGTAATGTTTTATTTTTCCTTAAAAAATTTTGAACAAACCTTTGAAAGAAACGTTGAATATTTCATTCGAAGGTGTGTGCAAAATTTTTAGTTAATCAAAGTAAGAATTAATTTTAATCAATTCTTCAAATGTATCATATTATCTAACAATCTGGATGAATCATTTTTAAAGGGAATGGTTTTGTTTTATGATTCTACCTCATAATATTTTATCTTTACATTCAACATTTTGAACAAACCTTTGGAAGAAACGTTGAATATTTCATTCGAAGGTGTACAATAATTTTTTCATTCTTATCATAATCCTAAATAACAATGAACGAACAACCGAGACGAATACGAATTTAATTGTGTACAGCTTGCATCCTAGTTAACGTTTAACATTACGTTGCAGTAATGTTTGTCTGCTATAAGATTATTATGTAAGAGGAAATACTTGTTCGATGATCAATATTAAAAAATTCTATTTCCTGTAGATAATATTTGTTTTTGTTGCATTGATCTTTAACCAGTCACGTTTTATTAGATGCGTACAAATTGGCTCTAGTTTTTCCTCAAGTTTCTTATTAGCAATGACCCTGAGCATCGTTGTTATATCGATTTTGGAAATGTTCCAGTTTGTTTCATACCTATCTTCGATCGTTATTATCATGATAATAATAACAACAATTTTCCACACTTTGTTCGTCTACCTAGAAGTACATACATCGATGACACTAAAAAGAAACACACGTACAATCATAATTGTTTCTCCTTTCCATTTTTTTAAACAAATTATCCTTTTACGACTTTTTCGAAGTGAAAAGGAAGAGAAAAAAAATAGTAAGTTCGATCGGTAATCTGAAAATTTAGGTCACGATTTCGTGTCTTAGATCATATCACGTAATAATAGTTTGCTAAAACAGTTAGGTTTGGTCACGAACACTGCCACGATAATTATAGCAATTTATTTCAAAAGTAAATTTCGAATTACCGTATGTAAAATCGTAATGTACTTCAATATATATATTTTCAAGGTAACTATTCTTAATTTTAATCGTAGAAATTATCATCTCTTATCTTTCAAACTAAATTGTTTCACGATACCATAGATAATTCTAATCCATTTTTATATTTCACACTTTATCTTTATTTTCTTCTTTATTATTTTCTTTTCAAAAGAATTATAAAAATCAAATTCACTTTAATGAAATAAACTACTATATACGATAATAGTAATTAACATATTTATTTTATCTTTTAATTCTGTCGTTCATTTTTCGAATTATTTTCCACTAGTTCGTAAGTGGTCAACAACAATAAAGATTTATGATCTTTCGATAAGATTGAAGAGAAAAGAAATGAAAAGGTTAAGAATAGTTAATTAACAGGTGTAAAAATAAACCAAGAAGAAACTTCCACATCGTTGATGCGAATTTTTTCGTTCGAGGAAGTGTTTTAGTTCAACGAGTAGTATTATGTTAGTTAAAGAATGAAAGCACGTGTGAATTTCTAGTTTTTTTTTTTCTTCTTCTTTTTTACAAGACGAAAATTGTAACATCGTTGATAGTAGAAAACGAAATATTACTTGGCACGTATTTCATTCCCCCACTTGCTCCCTCCCCCCCCAGCCCATAGATGACGTAAAACATAAAATCAATAAAGTCGAGCACGTTCGTGATTCATCTTCTTTTATTTTTTCTGTATTTTTTTTTTACTTTCTTCATCAATATTTTCATTCATCTTTCGCCGTATGATATTTTTGACATTCTCAAAATTGAATTTTTAATTTTGCTTTCATTAAAACGTGCAAATTG